AAATTGATGATTGATTTGTGGGGTTTAACGTCCCAAAACCACCATAAGATTATGAGAGACGCCGTAGTGGAGGGCTCCGGAAATTTCGACCACCTGGGGTTCTTTAACGTGCACCCAAATCTGAGCACACGGGCCTACGACATTTCCGCCTCCATCGGAAATGCAGCCGCCACAGCCGGGATTCGAACCCGCGACCTGCGGGTCAGCAGCCGAGTACCTTAGCCACTAGACCACCGCGGCGAGGCGTTGAAGTAGAAATGGGACTTTTATATTGTTGCATACAAAGTAAGCTTTTTTAGAAAGGTATTCAGAACGTTTCAAATGAGTATATTTTGTTTTCAGCAGAAAAAAAATTCTAATCTGAACAGCCACGAGGTAAAACGAAGCTTGTCTTTGCCTGGCCTACATTGTATAGCACTTCAGTGTCAAGTTCCAACGGGGGTCACCGGGAAACTAGCAATTTATGTCACACAACTGCTTGTCAGTTGCTAGAGTAATATTGCGGTATAGAACGCCTACAAGGACTATAGAGTTAAATATGTAACGGTATCTTCTCCCTACGACCACCAAAGGGAGGTTCTATAGAACCGCGCCCCGCCGCGGTAATCTAGTGTCTAACGTACTCGGCTGCTGACCCGCAGGGCGCGGGTTTGTATCCCGGCTGCGGCGGCTGCATTTCCGATGGAGGCGGAAATGTTGTAGGCTCGTGTGCTTAGATTTGGGTGCAAGTTAAGGAACCCCAGGTGGTCTAAATTTCCGGAGCCCTCCACTACGGCATCTCTCATAATCATATAGTGGTTTTGGGACGTTAAACCCCATATATCGATCAATCAATTCTATAGAACCGCTTCATAATACGAAGAAACAAATTTATTTCCCTATTATTTATTTATTTACTTATTTATTTATTTATTTATTTATTTTACTATTCACTCATTTATTTACCATTTACCTATTTACTTATTTATTTTTCTTAAAGATTCTGCATAGACATTTACATGAGGGGGGGGGGGTGTCTAATGTAGTCGATAGCCTGCAAAATTATATAAGAGTGTTGCGTTTGGCTTCCGATAATTTATGCACATAGTCCTAGCAACAATTAACGTTGTAGTTAGTGTGTAGTTGGCCAAAGCTGCTTTTATGATCTTTCATGTATACGCCGATGGCGATCTTTACCCCTACTCTGAATCATGAAGTTATGTATTTTAGGTGTAAATGTTAGAGATGATATGATATCATGCCTATAAATGACACTTCTACTGTCGCCAATGCCGGAGAGATTTTGACACTTTATTCCGCTCTTTCGTAATGGCGCAAATCTGCTGAAAACTTTCTAATTAGAAATACTGTCCAAAAACAGTAAAGTTTTTTTACCAGTTTCAACACACCAGGGCCATGAAAAAAAAATGGATGAAAAGTTTAAAATATAACCGAAAATGACGAAGTAACATTTATGGGGACGATAGCTATAGTATCCACTGTGTACACCAAGTATGCGTCATTTCATCTCGCACACCAGTGGTCAGTGATTACGCATCAGCCTCTACCTATATCTACTTATTTTTATCTGCAATTAATATTAAAGTGATGTGTTTGATTATCACAAGCCAAACACAACGCCCCAACACTGTATTGCAGGCCATCAACTGCATTATAATATCATATGAATTATTTAGTGCGACAGGGTGTCTTTTAAGTGCCTAAAGTTTGACCCACCTTCTGGTCACCAAATATAACCGCGAAATTCAACACCTCGATAACTATATACTACTCAGATTCATATACACCAGCACGATTACTGACATCATAGTCGAAGCTGGCCAAAAATGACCAGTTTTATATAAGAAATTAGCCACATATAATAAATTAAATGCTGTTAAGTAGAGGCTGGTGCCCAGATATGGCTCCGGCTACTGCGCTTCTCTTGCACAGTAATTTGTGTCATGGAGCTATAAACGCCAATAAGACGTAGCAAAATCGGCGCGAGCAATATGGCCATTTACAAAAGCAATGTTTTGAAGCCATGAATAATCTCCACGTGCCAAGGATAATGTTCCCACAAAAAAAAAAACTTTCTCGTTTCGCCGAAGAGTGCATCTCAGAGTCTTTTATCAAAGGTGATCACACAATAACCACTGGTCCGGTGCTTCAAATACAGATGTTATGAAACACGTGAAACAATGCAAGGCATGTGCCAAAAGAAGTAGCTCAATGCGAACAATAATCATAAAAGTGAATCAGTATCTTTCGAATATTCCTGATTACTATAAAGACACTGCTGCACGTGCAGTGTAGTTATCAGTAATCTCTGTTGACGATCACTCCAATGCTTCTGCTTATGATAATAGCAGTAAACCCACTTTATTTAACATGCCTGAAACGTACGGGTAACAGCTTAACTTTTATAATGTAGAAGAAGGTGTTCTATGTCTGCTGCCTTTTCACGTGTGCATGTAACACAGTTATTTTCTTTTCCAAGATAGTAAAGCTTTAGTGAAGGCAGTGCCTAGTCGAAGTCCCAATTATATTATTGTCGACAGCTGTGAAATGTAGTTTCGACAGAGTGGGTAATTTTATGCGTCACATGACATCTCCTTTGGGGATCGACCTTAAGCAATTCAGTTTTTCGCCCCGTTCGTGAACCGAGTCTCTTTGGTAACCAGGGTTTGTTAAACAAACATGATGTATTGCTCGCTGCGAGAGGAAGTAGAGGGTAATTGTTCTCTAGACACGCTGCATGTGCCGTGTACGATCAACTGCTACATTTGTGATGATTTCATAGCAACTTGGAATTCCTTGGAAATCGATATCATGATGAAATGAATTCGCTACAGAATATGTCTTCCGATTGTCATGTGTTAATTTGTTATCTGTTTTTTCTTTGTTAGTGCCTTTCATACAGCCCAACTCCAAGTCACCTAATATTACACAATGTAAAGAACCTGTATAGGTTCATATCTAAGACGCAAAGCAGAAAGTAAGGCAGAGAGTTCTGCCATTGAGGACAATAGTGACAGGGCTAAAAACGTTTTTCTCTTTTAATATTAAACTATATAAAATCTGACGAAGAACATTGTTTTGGTAATACACTGCACTGACTGCAACTAGATAACAGATAGAGATGCCCGCTGCGGTGTTCTAGTGGCTAAGGTACTCGGCTGCTGACCCGCAGGTCACGGGATCGAATCCCGGCTGTGGTGGCTGCACTTCCGATGGAGGCGGAAATGCTGTAGGCCCGTGTGCTTAGATTTGGGTGCATGTTAAAGAACCCCAGGTGGTCGAAATTTTCGGAGCCCTCCACTACGGAGGAGGAACAGGAGGGAAAGGAAAGGCAGGGGTATTAACCGGTCTGGAGCGACCGGTATGCTACCCTACATTGGGGATAGGGATGAGGGAGTTTGAAAGATGGAAAAAAATGAGACGAGAGCTCGCAAACGCACTGGGTTCGCAAATGCTGATGACTTGGAACATGTTGACGCACACTAATACGAAGTCTCTATAATCATATAATGGTTCTGGGACATTAAACCCCACATATCGATCACTCGTGACAGATACAGATAAAAGCAAGGATAGTCCTTCCAATGATCATTAAAGGGTCATTTATGTGTATCGATCGTGTAGTATGAGCCAGCGCCGTGTATGTGTGCTCGTTTTTGTTCCCAGCCTCATATCAGTGCGTAGTTTCACACTCATTATTTTATGATATAAGTTTTCTCTCATTTCACATGATTGCGGTGACAGACATCGGCAGTGGCGGATAACTGTGGCAAGAATAGTAGTTGTTGTTTTGATCTCATAGCAGAATTTCCTTTTAAAATAAAAAAGGAATCAACTTGAAATTGATCTCAGCATTCCAAGAGGTGCTAAAGTATGCTACCGCACAGCTCCTACAGTGCTTGAAAGTTATTCGGAAAAAATAATATACAGGCGTCATTAGAATGAGAAGTTTTGTTACAAGATGTAATATTACGTCGCAGAGGCGTACAATCAAGCCACATAGCACGTCATGTGAACTGCGCCAAGCCCCTTTCAACTACACATGCAGTAGGCACCCTGAGAGAGTTCACAATAGGCTTGAAAGTAGCCACTAAAAGTAGTAAATAACAGTTGTAGCAAATAACAAAGCGAAAAAAAATTGATGTTGATATCGAATCAACATAAAATAGCGCTGAAAACTTAGATGCATTTTGTTCGTCTCTTTATATATGAGTGAATATATTTTATAGAAAACAACAGTAGTATGTACAATCTATTTATGCGTCTACGAAATATCTCCTTAAAACTCAAAAGTAGAAAAAAATAGACTTCACGAATAATAAAAAAGATATTCAATCTAACTTTGACGAAACAATAGTGTGTCCTAAGTAGGCATGCCACCAATAACTAGCACGAAGTCATTGTAAGACATCATAAAAATTAAGGCTAATGTTCAGTGAATAGTTATTAAAATTCAATACACAGGAAACGCACCTTCCCAAGTGATAGCCCATTTTGCAAAAAAGAAAAAGACTCCTAGGTTATCCCAGCTAAGTACATTTCATTTTGATCTGAGAACAACTTTTTCTTGCAATAAGAACTAAAATGTTATGCAATCTAATCTTTTGCTGGCTGCTCCTTTGAGCATACGTCACTTAGAGCAGAAAAAAACGGTCCTCCATTGCCAATTAAAAGAGTAGAACGCATTCCTTCGCCCCGATGCATGGCTGCCCATTCCTGGACCTACAAGTTATATTTGTTTATGGTACATTTCGTGAGCGTCCCTGTTCTGACAGAATCGTAAAGCGGTGGTGACAAGAGGATTCAGTGCAACGCGAGAACGCTATCGTACAAACAATACAATTCTTGGAGTAATTATATAAGCTTATTGTGAATTTTTCAGTAATAACGGCAGCCTTTGTTGCGACAGTCGGGTGTCCTGTGAATCTTGCTACACAATGGAGTAGAGCAGCTATAAGAAAGAGAAACGGTGTCACGTCTTTGTTTAGGCGTGGTTGCGGTAAAAGTATCAGTCGAATTCTTCCGCACCACGCTGTGCGGTCCTACACACGGTTCGCCAAGTAACCGCAGGCTACCATAATGACACTCCTGTACCGCTGCCACGCTCTGGTCATGTGCATCGTCATCGTTTCTGGTACGTAGCAATAATAATATCTAGAGTTTGCCGTCCTAAAATCATGTTTCTGGTACGTAACATCATTTTTTGTAATGATATTTTTACTCAAATCTAACGTTAGTTTCTGAAATCTAACGTGCACGTTATGTCGATTTGTGCAACTACTAATTATTGAACATTTTTTGTGCTTTTCACATCTGATCGCCGATTTTATCACTGTCTGTACAGAAGTTCTTGATTGACTTTTGGGGTTTAACATCCCAAAACCATCATATGATTATGAAAGATGCCGTGGGTGAGCGCTACGGAAATTTCGACCACCTGGGGTTCTTTGACGTGCAGCCTAATCTGAGTAAACGTGTCTACAGCCTTATTGCCCCCATCAAAAATGCAGCCATGGCAGCCGGGATTCAATCCCGCGACCTTCGGGTCAGCAACCGAGTAGCTTAGCTACTAGACCACTGGTTTGTACTGAAGTTCGCGTTTGTCTTGGACAGAACAAGTAGTCCAATATTATTTAATTTTAATCACTTCATTGGCTTTCAGACGGCCACCTCTTTCCATATATCGCAGATCTCAGCTCACTGCGGAAGTAAAACAATGTTTCATATTATGGTGGTAACAAAGAACTTCGCGAATCAATTTATCAGCAGATCCCGTTGTTCCTTGTGCAGGAATAGGAAAATTTACAAGCGTAAATCACAATTTAATCAAATTTTAGCCGTACACGGTAGCACAATACTTTTGCATGTTACAGGCTGTGCGCGGTATATTTTGAAGCACCTGACATGAACTGTCTATTACTCGGAAAAACATTTTTTTTTTTGCAGACAAAATGACAAAATTGTTCATCACATCGGCGGCAATGATAAAGATATTCTCCCCTAAAAAAGAATGTTAAATTTGAATTGATGTCGAAAGTCGAGAAAAATATGAACGATAGCGTCATCCAACAGTGATGCGGTTAGTCTATTGCCACAACAAATCCTCGTAGGTAGACTCGTTTTGCTTTAAAACAAGCATGTTTAAATTCAAATTATATTTTACGCACTTGCCATAGAGTGTTTTTGTTTTTTGTTCGCTTTTCTTTCTTTTTTTTCTCGCGCGTTCAAAGAGGCGTATGGTGATGGTGCCAGCGGTACTTTCGCTTGTTCTACCTAGGGAAGTAAAACACGAGCACTGCGTTCGGCGGGGCGTTTAACAACAAACAAGCAAAAAACATCTTCGGTAAACAGCAGTAAGACTGGAATCGTGGAATTTTCAAAGCACTCCCGTGTACCGAGTGTATGTATAGCTTAATAACAATGCCCGAGTCACTGAGTCCTGATGCGTTAAATGTACACCAGTACCCGCCGAGGTGCTTCATTGATTATTTTGCCATCTCGTTCCGTTTCGCCAAGGCATCCATGCTGGCTCTCATATCACATGAAACACAGAACATCCAATATAATAATTGTTGTGATTTACCGTCCCGAGACCACCTTAAGATTGTACGATACACCATAGTGGAGGGCTCCGAAAATTTCGGCCACCTGGAATTCTTTAACGTGCACTTAAATTTAAGGACGTGGGCTTCGAGCATTTACGTTTCCATCAAAAATGCGGCAGCCAAGGCCGTGATTCGACTCCATGAACTGGTCTGTGGCACCGTGCCTTAGTCACTATAGACCACCATGGCGGGACACAGAACGCCTATACATAACTACAAGACAGCAGCAGCCTTACGTTCTTTTGTCAAGCAGGTCTCGTGTTTGTTTCAATAGCACGTTTGGCAGGACTGGAACCACTAAACTTTGAATTGCAACACCGGTTTGCCAGCGTTTCCTTAAAAAACGATCTTTGCCGCTCGGTTATGGTGGCTTTTCAGGATACCTTAGTAATATTGCTTTATTTGACAGTTTGCGTGCTTTAAGTCATCACTGCAGTATTTGTTTTGGTAAAAAAACAAAGATCGATTAATCTTGCAGAAAGAGCGCATGATTTCAGTTTTCTAGTTCCACTGGCCTGGCAGTCGCCATCGGCTTTTGTGCTCAGAGTTGTTGAAACTCGTCACTTCGATGGAAAAAGAGAGAACGTGGATCGAAAAATTGTGTATAAAAGCTTCTGCTCACCTATTCAGAGAAACCATTGCAAGGTTGGACATTTCAGGTGGTGCGCTTTTTATTGCGGTACAAAACAGAAAAGCTAAGCCGGACAGTAGACAGTCTTTTTAGAAAATTTTGCCTTACCTAAACAAAGCACTAACCAGAGCTTGAACTATTCCTAACGAAAGTTTAGGTATAAATAAAGTGGATATGTTGTGCCAACGTCGAACGAGGGCTCGTTACAAACTTCAAACTATGAAAAAGAACCTTGCCAAACACGCACGTTATCATTCCTTAGGTTTTTTCGGTAATAGGAGTTACTTTTTGAATAATGCTTTGATAACATTTTCATAAAACTAATGTTGTATACACTTCTCATACAAATGCGGAGCTGTCAGTCAGTAAAACCTAATGAACTGTTGCTATCCAGAGCACTAAAATATGGTTCCCAGCACACAACATTGTAATGCGGCAGTGCAGAAGCCACATGGAAAGTCATATGCATACCTAAATGCAGTTTGCAGCTTGTCATGCGTAAGAAGAATCGTGAGCAATGGGTCCATGTATAAGACATTGCCACCACCAAGCTCTAGCAAGAGCCCATGATAAAATACATCAGTAGCTAACGGGACATATTGGTATTACTGGAAATCAACCAGCACATGAAGGAACGAGTATGGCTCCGATCCTTCTATCAAGGATTGACACGACAAGACATTTTTACTTGCTGGATCGAGATTTTACACACACGTTTCGGTCGTCTACCAGCTTTCAGATGTGTTATTTATATGAACTGGATTCTTCGCTCAAGCTACAGGTACCATCACGACATTCGCGCTTCGATGCGATGCTGTTATGTAGCCTTTGGTTGGGTGTTGCATTGACAAAGGCGTACTTGTTTCGAATCGGTATGGCAGTCAACACTACATGCGACCCCTGCAGAGCTGTAGACGCCATCGAACACGTCCTGTGCTGCTGCGCCCGCTATGACACTCCGCGATGCCAGCTCCGGATGGCTTTGAACAAACTGAGCTCCAGACAATTTTCTGTGCAGAAGATTCTGGGACCTTGGTCATGTGCATTTATAGTGCGGAAATCGACTAAAGAGCTACTGCAATATTTTAAAGCAACTAATCTGAACCACTGCCTGTACAATGTGTGTATACCACACAAGTGTGCTCGTGATTATTTGTGTCTTTCTTCTCTCTCTTTGATCTCTTTTCTCCCGTTCATTCCTTCCTCCAGCGCAAGGTAGCAAAGCGGACGTGCGTCTGGTTAGCCTCCCTGCTTTTCCTTGCATCTCTATGTTTCTCTGTGAATTAGTGTCGTTCAATAAGCACCAATGATGTTCAAATGCTGCGATGTCACTAGGAGTCGCCAGCAAGGGAGCGGTACCTAAATGTACCCTGAAAACAATGATGACGATTCTGCACAAACGCATTGAGCTGGTAAAGCAAGTATAGATAATCGCTTAAAACTTTATGTAAATAAAAATTGCAACACTCTTGAGCCTGCTCAGAAAATAAGCTCAATTGGTAGTCGAGGCTCCCAAGTGCACGCGAGAAAAATATTACACTTCAGCACGAGGCCTGTAACTTACAATGGCCGAAAATTGCATTATCTGCTTTCGAATATATAACGTTATATTTTAAAAAATCAGGCCGTGGCGTGTTCCCGTGTGAACACTGAAAAAACACGCGTTCGTGGGAAAAAGAAAGTGCTCAAGGTCACGCACGTGGGATGCTTTCTCTTCCCCTGTGCAATCCCTCTCTTCTTAGCTTCCAGATTTTTCGTCGGGGCGAGACATTAGAGATTGCAATTACCACTTGCAACATATCTTTATAATCTGCTCGTACTGGACGGATTCCAAATATACTGCCGGGGGTCAGTTCGGGAGGCAATGAGCTCCTTTAGTGACTCTATTCAATGGCTATTTTGAAAAGTGTCGTATGGGGCCGCTTCTAGCTCTCTGGGCCAAGTCTGATTTGTCGCTATACTCCAAGCATGTGATTCGCTGCGAGTCGCACTAGAGCAATCAAACGAGTTTCAAACTCTGTGTTTGCAGTCTACGCACAATTGCACCGTTAAATGTTGCCCCACCAAACGATCGGATTATCTCCCGTGGACGACGACCATCGTCTGCCTGAGTTGCGACGCACTCCGCGTTTGTGGGAACGGCGCCAACGGGCTCAACCGAGGTTTCTTTTATCGGACACTATGAATTTCTCCGTCAGCAATGTGTGCGTCCTATCTAGCCATTGGTCACTTTTAAACCTACAACATTGTGTAAGAGATGTAAGGCATCTGGTGAGCACAGTCACTTTAGCTAGTTGGGGTAGTGCGTATAAAGTGCCGGGCTCCCGCCATCTCTTCCCTACCATAATTCATGTACCTAGGGCTCATTTTCACCCTTACCCAGGTGCATTTTACGCTAACCAATGAACATTCTCAAATAAAATTTGTTAATCCGGATATTTGCCGCTTACATGTCGTCGTACGGGAGTGTAAAATGGAAGCACCTGTTTTGTGCTGCGTTGCTTCGCGGAACAGACTGCAAACACCTCGCTTGCGCGTAGGCTCCGTCGAGAGTGAGGCGGTTACCAGTGATGGAATCATGTTCGGCATGTCGGGAGGAGTGGTAATGTTGAGAAGAAGAGTGGCATGTAGCATTTCGATAGCTGCTTTCATACAACCTTTCTTCGTAAGAGCTGCGTTCAAAATTTATGGTGTGAAGGTCTTTATGATTCTGTAGCCTAAACACAGACGAAATTTAAAAAACCATTCCATGGTGGTTTTGACAACCACTTTGTTAACAATTTTGTTTTAGTTAAAAATGCTGCCAGGTATTCTGCTCATTTTAACAAACCAATGGCACACTATGGAGCAAGAAAAACGCCCCTTTCCAGAGACGAGCTCCGCAATGCGTACTTCACT